AAAACGTGAAAAAGAAAGGTTTCACAACCGAAAGAAATCAAAATTAGAACAGCCCATAAACAATCACAAAGACTTAACAGAATAAGAGAGTGCGTCCACCTGTCTGAAGAAGATTGGCTGTTTTAATCCTAAATGTGCGTAATTTTAATACAAAGTACAGGATATTACATGTAGATTATGGAATCACACACATGTCAGTACATGTAATCGGTTTTTGTGGAACGTATGCTCTAACATAACACATTTAAATCTATATATATACATGTATATATATATATATATTTAGAATCTAATGAAGGTAGGAACATCAAAATAAATTACGTTACACTATACAACATCCCCCCCCCCCCTTTTTTTAAAAAAAATAGAGTTGATAGAAAAACAACACATCAGAACAATAACAAGAAAGAAAAAAATACACACTAACAAAATTAAACACACAAAAGGGAAAAATAAAAGTAACTGTAACGTATTCAACAAATCAACGGGGTGACAACAAGTGATAAAGAGACGAAGTGAAGCTAGGTGAACTTTCTTTCAAAAGTAAAGAGGTTCGGTTTCTTTCTTTTTTTCTTTATTTTTTTATTTGACTTTTATTCCCCGATTCGGGGACCAAAAAATGCCCAAAAAATCGAGCCACGATTGATTGGTCGCGGCCGCGACAAACGCAGATGCTAGTTCTATGTGTCATTATCAACAATAACCCTTCGTAGATCTAGATCTAGATAGCACACGAGTAAAGTGAACACAACATATTAAGTTTAAGAGCAGCAGCCTTCATAGGCAACACGTCATATATCTCTAGCGAAAAACTGTTTGGAACTGTAGCATTTCTTTACAAATATTTACTGCGGACATTTTTTGGACCGATTTAACCATATTGTATACAAACAATCTTTGGTAGGCCTATACTATAATTATAGATCTATATAATATCCGAAATTTGCGGGAAAAGATGTGATTTCAGAGTGTTCGGAGAAATAGTGCCCAGCTTTATTTTCCTGAACGTTCGGAGAAATAGTGCCTAGCTTTATTTTCCCGAACGTTCGAAGAAATAGTGCCGGCCCAAAAAAAAACTGTCCGGGACCGGAATCGAACCGCTCCAAAAGTAAAAGTCATTGCACAACCTCAAACACAGACGTGCTATCAAATCAGCCATCAGAACTTCCGAGAGAAAGGCAGGTGTAGATTAAGCATAGACACTTCCATCTTTGGTGCCATGCGGTTGTCTATACTTAGATGTAGTCACGTGATTGCGTCTTTTCTACTTTTAATCGCATGTTAGTCGGCGATTGTTAAGATTCCCGCGTTTTTCAGGGGGCCACCTTTATGAATAGTGCAGGCGAGTCTTTTGGCTACTCTCACCCGGTGCGCCTTCACCGTTATAGCCTAGATCTAGGCCAACAAATTTTGCGTTCACCCTAAACCACAGAATTCTACACTGTGATAACAGAAAAATTGTAGAATTCTGTGCCGTGAACAAACGTTCCATTACAACTGTAGCCTACTAAAAGCGTAATTTTGTCTGTGGGCAGTGGTGAGAGAGAGAGAGAAAAAGAGAGAGAGAGGAGTAGCGCGAGAACTTCCGGGCAAAACAAAATGGCGACCCGCATAGTTCGGCTCGATTCAAAAAGTTAAATAGCTGTAGCATCTTTGTAGACAACCAAATTAATTTACATAAATTTTGTGTTTTAACATCATTTTTTAACTTTGTTTTGGTCAATTTGATCGTCCACACCGATAGACAGTATTCAGAAAGAGACAGAGAGAGAGAGAAGAGGGGAGGAGTAGATCTTGCGAGAACTTCCGGGCGGGTGAGAATAGCCACTTCCTTTTCAGGGTTAGGGTTAGGGTTAAGGCCACCTCTATTCTCACCCGGGGTGACAATAGTGCAGGCGAGTCTTTTGGCTATTCTCACCCGGTGCGCGTTCACTGTTATAGCCTAGATCTAGGCCAACAAATTTTGCGTTCACCCTAAACCACAGAACTCTACACTGTGATAACAGAAAAATAGTAGAATTCTGTGCCGTGAACAAACGTTCCATTAC